GGTTAACTCACAGGACTTTAATTCTCTTGTCCGTATGGGTATTTTTGGTGTTCAAGAGTTTATTTTGAGATCGCACTGTTCGTATGTGGAGTGATACGAGCAGCGCGTTTCCCCTAAAATTTTCTGCCATTAAAAGGAGGTTTGTTCCCCTTACAGTTGCACACAGTGCATGCATCACGCACGGAGTTTTGGCGAGTTTCCCTTCTTGGCAAGTGTTGTGCATTATATTGTGTGCATGACCTGAATGTTCCGTTTTTTTTTTAAATAATATCATTGAACGTAAATAAATATATTGATTAAGGTAGGTTTTATTAACTTTCTGTGGCAATTTTTTTTTTTTTTTAACTTTTGTAATGCAATGGAATTGGAAATTGTTCAGGCTTAAAACTCAGCCCAATTGAATAGGCCAAGGCCTACCCCATTCGACATGTTCAATCAGCATGTGCTCAAGATCGGTTTATATATTTATTTACTGTGAATCAACTAAACTGGAAGAGAAAACTCTTTATCTTATGGGACAGGACTCAGTTAACATGGTTTAAAGTAAAGGCAGCCAGTATTTTAAAAAAAAAATGTCAGGCCTGCTCAGGACAGGATTTTTGGAGGGATATCACTCTTGCTATATGCATTTTTCAGCCAGTCACATTAAAGTCAAGCCTCGTCTCAATTTGCTTGTTCTTGGCCAAACTGCCAAAGGAAACATGCATTAAATTCTTATTCATTTTTATGGTATTTGCTTATCACATAACAATGTCAATAATGTATTTTCTTAAAATAAAGTGGATATGAGAAATCTGTTCAAAGGCATTTGTCATTCTCAAATATGTTGAAGGGCTGTTGTATACATGTTTTCTAAAACCGTTTTTTTTTTTTTTCAAAAAAGGCAAAAACCTCATGAAAAAAAGGTCAGAAATTCACCAGAGAGCATGTAAAATAGCCACAGCTAATTACAGGGCCCTTAACAAGGCACTGGATCCCGGCCATAAGGGACTTCGCACGTTGCGCGCTCATGTAAAACGTAGGTCCGTCGCTCAGTCTTTTGGAAAGGACTTTCCACTGAAGTTCGCTGCATCCAATGAAGATCGACAATCCATTGGCATTGTATATTCGGGAGTTTTTAGGGCCCATTTGGTGGCCATTTTTGGTGGTCCTACCATCAAACCTTCCAAAATATTTTTATCCATTTCTCTGAATTACTTTTCTTTACTCAAATCCTGAACCACTTGTTTGGTTATATCTTTATCGGCATACAGCTAATTCTTTTGAGAATCAAACTTCTTGAAATTTTGATTCTTATCTTTGCATGTTGTTCCAAACCCTGTGCCATGTGGTGGTTATTTCCCCATCCGACCCAGTGATCTTTTTTATTCCAACCCAAACCATGTGACCGCACTAACTTGTTTAACGTGTGTGACTGACGGGCCACACAGGTCCACTTGTGGTTTACTAAGCCTATTGTATTTGGATCTTTGAGGCAGCAAGTTCATAGAATTTATGGATGTCATCTTATTCACTGAAACTTGCAGAAGATATTGGTACTTTGTGGAATCAACTCCCACCTTTGCCGGCTTGGTAAATCCTCAGAATTGTTCGGCACTTGGTGGAATCGAATCCATCTGCAAAGGAATGGAACATTTGATAAAATAAAAAAAAAATGTAATCGTGATTCTGATTCCAAATTAAGAATCGATTCTACCCAATACCGGCTAGGAATCGCCCAAGCCTAGCTGTCAAATATAGAAATAATTTGCTAGATGGTGGTCATATCCTTTATTTAGAATTAGCCTAGCAGCATACGTGTACTTCTGAAGTTTGTAAAGTTTGTCCCTATGTGAAGACAATCTTTCCCAAATTCGACAGCAGTGTTAAAAATGGGACAGAATAAATGCATTAAAAAGAAACTTGAGCAGGGATGAAACTTAACCGGATTTATCCGGAAAAAATGTTCACAGATTTTTTCTTCTTAAGTTCATGCTGTAAACAGCAGGCCTGCCCACTGAGCTGTATAATGCTCTATGGTTGCGTACCACTGGTGCATACACACGAAAAAGTATTTGCAGAAAAAAATCAGTTAATGACTTACTGAAGGCAAATTCCAGACAGATTGCCAATTTTGCTGATTCCCCTGCAACTTGTGTAATTTGGTTCCCGGACTTAAGATTCTGACCACCTCCGATATGAATCCAATACGCGGTCACCAAAATAGATCTATCACCTGATCATGACGTCATTAGAGACGGCACGTGATTGGTCAGCTGATTCATGAGATCTGAATTTAATGGAAATACTGCATTGCCAACGGAAGTATATTCCTCCAGGTCCTATCAACCGTTTGTCAAGGCAGAATTTTTAAAAAATCAAATCCTTCCCAAATATCCAACGGGCAATGCTGTCATTATACGGCAAAACATAACGTTTGTCATAGAAAGTGCATTGACTTAAAATATTGATACTGGACATTTTGCCTTTTGTTAAGTTTTGCCACTGCCACTTCCAACTTAGATTTCAAAACCCACATTCATCTGGATCTTCATATTACAATTTTAATTTGAACTCTCCAATCAAGTTCCAGAAATATACTTATATATTTATATATAATATAATATATTATATATATTCGTGCAAACCTCTGAAAGACTCGTTAGACCAGACGAAGGGAACGGGGACCAGTCTATTTTAAAACCAAGAGGAATTCCTCCTGGTTTTGATCATGATGATGTGCAATCTATTTTTGTGACGACGTATAGCGGACCTTAGATTCATCGGAGATAGTTAGAATCTTTTGGTCTGGAACCCAGACTACAACTTGTGCTGACTTTTCACAGTAGAAGTAGGGAACCAGTTTTGTTCATGCATGATGGTTTCACACGTGATTCGTGATGCAACATGACGAATAACAATGCAACACCTGGAATCAAAGTGCTTTTCTTTTGGAAACATTTTTGTTGGAACTTTAGGCAGACACTTGGTAGTTTTAGAGCAGAATGTAGCGTCTGAAAATTGGGCATATGGACATGAAGTGTGGCAAAGATTTCGGACACAATTTTTTCCCGTCCTGGCGCGGGTCGGCCGCTAACATGCAGCCGAGTAACGTTAGGCCTTACTGCCGGTAGAAGGTATGGTGTACGATAACCCATCCAAACCAATTTCCGGAGAGAAGAAATTATCCTTACCACTTGTATTTATGGTTTATGACATTGACAAAATTATTGCAATCCAAAATCAGAAATGATTCTCAGTCACAGATATTTTCCATTCTGTTTCACTCTTCAAGTAGACCTAGGCCAACATTTATAAAATCTGAGATTTAAGTTGCAACTTTTTTTCCTAAATTTAAGTTTTCTTTTAGTCCATAGGCCTAATTGGTACCCTTCCATTTAAAAATTGTTGAAATTATTTGTCATTTATAAATCTTGTCAAATAAATGTAACTTAAGGATCCCCATATTAGCTCATTAGAAAGCTGCTAAAGTTTGTGGCCCTTGAGTGGACTACCCCCCCCCCAAGGCCAGCCTCAAACTGGACCCCTGTGGCACTCCACTAACAATACAAAATGGGTTGGAGAATTCCTTATTAACACAAACTCATCTCCGCTTAGATAAGTAACTCGTAAAACAATTAATTGCAATTTCAGAACATCCAAGTGACTTCAATTTACGAAGTAAAATGTATTATGATTTACCAAATCAAACACTTTACGGAGGTTGATAAATGCTACACCATAAAGTAATAAAGATGGTTTATTCCAATCAAGCAGTTCTCTAAGTGACAACTAAAATAAAAGATCTCATGAAAATGCTATGGCAACATTTTGAAATGTGTGTAAATTACCATCCAGGTGAAAAGAATAAACAATATTACTGCAAGTAAGTGACCACTACTACTTAATGAATGTGGACAAATCTGTAATGTCCGTAACACTACAAATGTAATGTCTGTCACAATCATGGCTCCGGAGGGTGTATGTTTCATCTGTTTCACTAAATTCAACTTTATTATAATTTAACATTTCAATCTGTAGGTAGATTGGTCTGTGTGCTTAAACTTACAGACTTTTCAATGAATGTAAAGGCATGCAAAAAGTTGTGTCCAAAACTGTAACGTCTGTAACAGCTAACACAATATGCAGTAAAAAGCTTTCACACGGTTTATACTTTAGGGTCACTTGTTTATGATTCCATTTTAAGAGTTGGGAATAAAACAGCTGTGCTATCCTAATGACCTTTCGAAGTTGCAAAATTTTCTGAAATGTAATAGGACCCTCTTCTGGTCACTCACAGGCCTGAGGGGCACATAGTCGTTCACTAGTGACCGAATTATGCCAGTCCCCATGTGTTTTGTAACACACCTATGTCCAAAAATAGAGAAATTAAACTTTTCAGTGTAGTTAATTGTGAATCTTTCCCAAGAACTATTTTCCCGATTTCTTCCTCGGTAACAAGGGTAAATCGAGGTTTTCGTGGCAGCAGTATTATGATCCGCGTCAGACACCACCACCTTAAGTTGGATAATGAGATTTGACAATCTGGTAAGAGGGTGCCATTACCAGTTAAAATTGTTTGAACATTACGCTTGTGCTGTCTTGACACGCATTCCAATTGGAATCTATACTTCGAACATTACGCGTGGGCGCTGTCTTGATGCACAAATTACTTTTATTACATGAGATACCCCCATCTCTACCCTTTCAAATGTTGGGGGTTGTGAATGGATGTGAACACATGTACAAATGTAACTGCCCCTTTTTGAAATATCAGTGTGTCCTGAATAGAAACAACTTGACAGCTGGTCTCAGAATTTTGTAGGGGAAGGGCATAAACAAATCTAAATATAATTCCTCTTTGAGAATTTAAGGGCAATTGAATAAAAAAAAAGTGACATATCCCTCCCTTTTTTCAAGAGGGTCGTGAAAAGATCCAAATACATGGGGGCCCCATTTTTGCATTTTAGGAGTAGTGAGTGGATCTAAATACATGTGAACCTCCCCTTTCTGAATTTTAGATGGTTATGAGCAGCAGCTGAGGAAGTCAAAGCAGGCGAGGGAGTCAAAGCAGGCGAGGGAGTCAAAGCAGGCAAGGAAGTCGCAGCAGGAAAGTGAGTCGGAGCAGGAGAGTGAGTTGGAGCAGGCGAAAGGGTCGCGGCAGCTGAGGAAGTCAAAGCAGGCGAGGGAGTCAAAGCAGGCGAGGGAGTCAAAGCAGGCAAGGAAGTCGCAGCAGGAGAGTGAGTCGGAGCAGGAGAGGGAGTTGGAGCAGGCGAAAGGGTCGCGGCAGCTGAGGAAGTCAAAGCAGGCGAGGGAGTCAAAGCAGGCGAGGGAGTCAAAGCAGGCGAGGGAGTCAAAGCAGGCGAGGGAGTCAGA